AGTAGTATCTTTACTACCGCCGGTTAACAAAGTAAGTAACAAAAATTGGGCTATATGTATATTACTATATATATCATATATATATATAATAGCCAATAGCCTATTAGTCCATTAACCTGTCCTCGCTTCCATTAGCCATAGCCAAATTTATTATAGCACGTAGGATTGTAATTCGAAAGAATTGTACAGCAAAAAGTAAGTTTATAAACAATTAAGGAAAGGGCTATTAAATTTTGATGAAGACCCTTAAAAATTAAAAATTTTTTACAGATTTATAATGTGAAAAAAGATGCTTTTGAAGTTTACAATTATAAGAAAAAGTACCTATAAACTTGTGAAAAATAATCCTTGGTTAGACTTTAATTATTCGATTAGAAAATCTTAAAGTCTCAAAATGTTTTTACTTTACAATGACAAGTAGGTCTATAAAGTGAAAAGTAAGAAAAAGGCTAAAGTGAGTAGTTTATAATGTTGAGAAGATTAGATTGTAAAAGTAAGAACCAAAACTTGACACCAAAAAAGTTGATAATAAGTGGTTTATTAATGTTGGAAATAAAATTTTTTAATTAGCCGAAAGAAGAACGAAAAAACTAATAAAATACCAATTTATAGTTTGTGTAAAATAACTAATAAGTGAAAAATTTTAGTTTACAAAAGAGTTTAACTAAAGAGGAGTAGAGAGTCGCTTTAGAGGTAAGTCATCCAGTTGATTGTCGTCGTTGTTCCGGTTTATATGTTGAAAGTAGAAGATGAACATTTTCCGAAAAGTGTGGGAACCGTTGTGTGAGTAATTATTCTGAAACAATACTTTGTACGTCTTGATAGACTCCAATAGTGACTGGCGTCGACCAGAGGGTCGCTGACAGGGGCTGGACGTCTTCTGGGTACGCGTCAGACGCTAGGACTACAACAAGAAGAGCAGATTGTTGTTCAAGAGCCCGAAGTTAGAGCCACCGACCGTCTCCTTTGTCTGTAAAATGAAAACTTGGAGAAGTTTTTAGTACACGCTAAAGACAAAACGCCTACAAAGTTATCATACGCCCTGCTTACACATATACGTCGTTTTAGCCCTGGGGTCGTCTCTGGCAAACTTCTTGCCTTTTTCAAAAGCCTCGTGGATAGGTAAAAGCCCCGGTGCCTTTGCAGCTGGCTTTGGATTCGCCGCTAGTTTAGCAGCGCAGGCGTCTTCGTACGTTTTTAACACACCGTCGTAGCCATGGCGATGTTTCAGGTGACTAATCAGGTTGGAAGTATTATAGCTCGTTGCCTTTTTCCCTCCTCGTGGAACTTCTGCATTGCATTTGTTAATACAAATAGCAAGCGAACTATCTAACTCTGAAACTTTGAAATAGTCCCATACTACCGACGACATGTTTGTTTACTGTCCTGGCTTCACGGCCGCACACCATTTACGTCACAGCCAGGCATGAGTTAGGGAGCGCTGGATTTCTGAAAAATCCCCTCCTCCTAAACCACTAATACCACAGTACTCGCAAAACGGGAGGAGCCGAGTGAAAAACAAGCGCCCCTCATCCCAATCCACCCACACCGCAGTATTAATTTCTTTTTTTTTACCCAAAAAATATATTGTATATTATCGGGGCTATTAATACTTTTATCGGGTTTATCGGGATGACGTCATAATTCCTAATATTGGCCGATAATTATCGTGCACCACTATTAATATGTTTTAAATATGTCCACTGTACCTCTTACATGTCTTGGCTGATCTGGAGACAGTAGAAACGTTCAGGTCCTGCTTGTTGTTCCTCACGCTGTTTAAAGCTCTGCAGGATGCCGGCTGGTCCGATCTGTTTCAGAGTCGCTGATGTGGAAAAGATAAAACTCCAGTCCTCCGGCTCCAAAAGTGGAAGAGGAACAGGAAGTTACAAAATGAACCTCCTGCCTTTAGTATAATCCTTATTAATGAAAGAAATGCAGGCACTAGTCACCCTGGAGATAATGCAGCAGAGAACTTTCTGTAATATCCATCTTATTTTTTTTACAAATGTGCTTACTATTTAAGTTTTTATTGTGATTACTCCTATGAAACTAAGTGTGCTTGTACTGCTAAAAAATATTCAAAGGCAATTAGTTATGTGCTGAATCGCCGTAGCGTATTTTTGCGAATAAGGATCTAAAGTCTTCTCCAACTAAGAAACGTACAATATACTAAACATGAAGTAGAAAAATGCAATAAAATGCAATTGCAAAGTTGTTTAAAAACAGACAATAGTTTATGACACACTAAACGTTTGATTGTTGGAATAATTTGGTGTTTTAAAAGTCACAATGTTACGTAGATTTATGTTAAAATTGACCAGTGAAAAGAGAATGTTTCTTTTTCATCCAGAATGAATCTAACTGCTCTTTCAACAGATTTTTAAAAGGCTGCTGTAGTGTGCTGTATAGGTTTGAAACGCCTCCATTGGACTCCTTTGTTTACTTCCTGAGCATAGTGACGTCCCTATGCTTCTATTGGCTAGCGTTCCAACACATTGTACGTGATAGGCTAAGGGGCGGGACATCTCTAAGTGGTTAGCCAATCACAACAGGGCCGGCCAGCTAACCAATCAGAGCAGACTGGGCTCTGGTTCCAGACAGAGGGTGAGAAGAGGTGCTGCAGCACAGGCAGTATGAGAAGAATAAAGAGCTTTGTGAACAGTGAATTAGTCTTCTCTCAATCAAGTTTCCTGTTCACTTTTCACTGGTTTCACCTGATCACATGACCTTACCTTAACATTTAAATGTCGTTGCTAATTGTGTGGAATAATTGCCGGGGGATGTGTGCAGAAAGTTTCAAAGTTTACTTTAATGCAACATAACACAGAGGTTAGTGCAAAGTAATTCAAACAGTTGTTATGAAGCTCCTCTGATGGATCTGTACATATCTGCTGTGAGTAACAGGTCACATGACTCTTCCTCCTCATGTGACGTTAATGAAATTCATTAAATGTCACTGAGTGACGATGTCGTAGACGTCGACTGCAGCCGGACGAACATGTGGTGTCATTAGATCTCAGTTAGTGTGTTTGAGTATTTCACATGGACTGGTTGCCATTAGCATAATGAACATGACGCTGGCACTGATGGAGTGTGTTTACTCAGTTTCAGTGAAACGCCGTCACACTCTGCTTCATGCTGCTGGGGTGGATCCTCGCAGTGTGGGAATACTTCATCATGTTATTATTCAGAAGACGAGGAAATCATGTGCAGTTATTCACTTCATGTCTGTAGCTCCAGTCCTGACACGCTACTTTATTTGATTTACTTTTAGTTATTACCTTAAGTTAATATATAGTTTGTCCGTATGAGTAGAAATAAAACAGGACATACATGTATGCATGTTTCTTACATCCAGAAGCAGCTTTTAAAGAAACAAATCAAATATTATAAATAAATACAATTATTCATATATAATAATAATAATAATAATAAATAAAATAAATAATTTAAACAATTACAAACACATTTAAACATATTTAGAGTAATATTACTGTTTAATATAAATAACATTTAAATGATTATCTATAATAATACGATTAAAAATAACTACAATAATAATACTGATAATAATAAGATTGATAAAACAATAATGTATTATTAATAATAAAAAAACATTTATTATTTAAAAAAAAATACTCATCAATAATCATCACATTAATTAATAATAATAACTTTAGTGAATAATACTAAAATAAAAAGCACATGTAAAGTTAGTTAATAATCTCAGTGAGTTTCTCTGAAGGCATGGGAATATCAAGTCTAGATTTGTATTTAACGGAAACACAAAGCACTCTTTACTCTCAGTCATTTTACTTAAACTGCGAGCTGATCACTTTCAGAGAAATGTTTATTCTCTTTAGTTTAGTTTCAGATAGGGAGGTGTTGAGATGTGGTATGGGACGGGATAATGTAAATCCTCTTATAAAACAGCCTCGTAACTCACGGTTAAAACTTCATTAAATAACTTCCCTCACATTCCTGTGGATGAAACGGTGTCACATGTTATCCAACAGGATGAGCATCCTCTGGATTTTGGATTGGGGACATTTCCTGTGATGTAACTCTCACTTAGCTAAATACAAAATAATCCACGTCAGGAAGTAAAAAAGGTTTTTTGGGTGAAAGCATTTCATATTTTCTTCAGAAAACATTGTGTGTGTGTGTGTGTGTGTGTGTGTGTGTGTGTGTGTGTGTGTGTGTGTGTGTGTGTGTGTGTGTGTGTGTGTGTGTGTGTGGTGTGTGTGTGTGTGTGTGTGTGTGTGTGTGTGTGTGTGTGTGTGTGTGTGTGTGTGTGTGTGTGTGTGTGTGTGTGTGTGTGTGTTGTGTAATGCTGTTTTCAGTATGTCTCTGCTTGTGTTCCAGGTCTCCGCACTACGCCTGCCCAGAGGTGATCAGGGTAAGTGCTCCTCTCTCTGTGTCTTCCGTGCACTCTGCAGAGAGGCTCTTACGTCACGCTGCATCCTCTCCGCTCTCACAAACTCACTTTATAC